TGCTGTTCAAGCATCCCCCCACCAGAATAACCATCGCGAGAGCGATTACGAGCTGTTGCAATTTGCTGTGTTGCTGCTTAAGGTGCATCCACAGCAGCGGCTGGCTGAGCCCTGCCCCCGTCACGCTTCTCACAAAGCAAAAGAATAACGTTTATTTCATAGTGGCTGTAGCAGATACACCGACTGGTGCCAAACGCTGCCAGTCTCACTTCTCTCCCCATGTGTCCAGTGGCTCATACTGACCTTTAGAAAAGACCTTACTACGCTTTAAACTTCGCTGCAGCACATGGAAATTCAATTGGCTGAACAAATGGTCCACAGGCAAGTACTGCATGTTATGGGATGCCAACAAGTCAGGTATGTTTGAGGAAAAATACTGGAAAAATGCCATTGGTGCGAGGGTATTTTTAATGCTGCACAAAATGTTGAGTCCTTCGTAACAATCTCCTGAAGCATGAATAATGATTTAATGGAATTAACAACCTTTTTATTTGAAAATAATGTCAAAACACTTAGAAAACTGTGAGCAAGACATGTAGCACCATATTTTCCTCACATGTGAATAACCGTATGCAGTACGCACAACTGTATACACGAACAGAGCTATTTATAAAAAAATTTCAGCTGGAAACAGGTTCTAGCAGCAGCAGCAGATTAGAAATCACAATGAGTTTTTTTTTTTTATATATTATTTTTCTGCCTTTACAAAATATTGTATTGTCCAATCAATAGTTGACTAAAATCCATGTTGTGCTTTGTCCCTATTAAATAAGTTTCTTCGTGTGTTTCTGATGGAAAATATGAAGTTTCTCTTTGTCAGTAATATGGAACATCCTGCAAAGCCATATTACTTCCATAAAAATTTAATTTAAAGCACAGAGCATGCCGGTGTGCCAGTGGTAGGCTTAAAATATTAAAGATTTTTTTTTTTAAAAAAAACAACCAACAAACTCCTAAGCATTTCCTTTCTGTACAACAACGGAGAATATATATCTTTGCTATATATTTTAAACATGGAATAGCTTTTTCTTTTTGCTATATATATGTCTTTCAAAATACATTGTCAGTATTTGTACTTGAAAAATACTGTACAAAACGAACATACTATAATTATTCTGTATAAACTTTATACATTTTATAATATCTATTCTTTTGGTCTATAGTAAACACTTAGATTGATTGGATTAACCACAGTATATGACAACACCATCCCCTCCTGAAATACACCAGTGTCTCTTACATTCATTTTTCAGAAGTCCACTTCATATTAGAACATACGTGTTCAAAAGCAAATATAGAGTTTAAAACAATAAAGTTCAGAACCATCAGTTCATGTCACACTCAAAATAACAATCACTAGGAGAAATGGGCTTTGCAAACCAGTGACGACTCCTAACTGAATAAAAGTGATTTTTAAAACAGCAAGATATAATCCACAGAAAATATATTACAGAACATGGGAAAAACCAACTGAATTTAGGTACTTATTTAATTTTTAGTCACAAAATGGAACTTGAAGAAATGCGTAACTAACTGAAAACAGAAAAGCCCCTCTGATTTTGACATCGGATCTGATTTGATACTATTAATTTTGTTCTCATTTCAACTAATTATCCTGCTTCTTATACATGCGCTCCCTATAGCAGGGATACAATTAGCATGCTCACGTTAATGTGTCTTTTACTTCTGAAACTTTTGTTAAAGACATCAGAACTGTTGGGTAGGGAAACCATCCTACGTCCACTAGGAACATCCGGGCAGCATGCGCGCTAGCGTACAATAGGATTATTGCTTCAGGTACAGACAGTGCAAAATACACACTCTGTGGTCTATCGGTAGTACTCCTACCTACCTGGGGTCTGTGGAAATAAAAGGAACCTTAATAGCTATAGAGATGCCATTATGGGATCTATAATGAGTATAGCTAACTCATTCTAACAGCACTTTAAATCTGAAGACGATTATCACCAAAACTTAAAATATAACAAAAGCAATCTATAAATTAATATTTCTGCAGTGCAGTACTAAATTATTATTTGTGCACTTTATTAGCATGTTAACTTTTCTGATTAGACATACTTAAACAATAGCTTGTTACTCTCGAAAAAACTGAGATCTACTTTTTTTTTCTTTTTTCTTTTTTTTTTTTTTCCTTTTTTTATAATTTATACTGGGATCTTTCCAAGTAAATCAGGAGGATGGAACTGGTTACGATAACAGAAAACCCCTAATCTGAAGCAGCACTGAAAAAATATAAAAAAAAGCTTACTATGGCGGTTCTCAACAGTCCAGGTAAAAATGTGGCACCCTTTGAAGAGGGCTTCGTAAAAACGGGAAGTGCTGAGATGCGTGCGCACGCACACACACACGCGTGCGCACATGCACACACACAAGCGCACACACACACATATACAGACATGTGAACACACGTGCACACATACGCAGGTACACGCATACGCAAATGAAAATAAAAATAATGTAAGTCAGTTTTGTTTCTGCTTCTGGTAAAGTGCTGAAGACAGAAAGGTTGGTTTGGGTGTGGTGCTATCAAACAGGAAACACACTGTCCATCTAGTCAAATGCCAACCCGCAACAAAAACAAACAGAAAAAAAAAAAAAAAGAAAAAAGAAAAACCCCCGCTCCTTCCCCTCGAATTTACAGGGGGCCGTGTCGAGCTTCGTACTTTGCAAGGACGTTCTTGCATTTGCCCAGCTCTTTCCGTAGGTCGGCCACCTCTTGGCGGAGAGCTGAGTTCTCCTTCTCCAGAAACGAGGCGCGGATGGCGATCTGGTTCTCCTTCAGCCGGCGGGCATCCCTCGATCGCTTAGCAGCCATGTTGTTCTTTCTACGCCTTGCCCAGTATTTGTCATCCTGCTCATTAAATAGAGAAAGAAACAAACGCGGTATTAGATTTCAGAAAACTGAGCAGCCACCAGGATGTGCTTTTAGCTGCAGCCTCCGGACTGGGGAGGGCTGAACGCCGCACATTCTCCTTGCGTGGCCCAGTGAGCCCTGACAATGGCAGGCCCTGCTGGGACAAAGGTTACAGATTTACATGGCGTAATTCGTCCAGGGAGCACAGATAGATGCCTGCCCGTGTTTCTGTCAAAATGTTTATGCTAACCCCCTCATCCTCTTGACTGTGAATTCCTCCAAGGAAAAACGAAGCACTGTTACAGTGGTACAAATTCATCCCACATCTACGCTGACCTAGTTAGCACATCCACCTTCGCGTGTGATGACTCACTCTCTACCGGCTGCTGGAGCAGTACTAATTACCTCTCGTATGTCCCTGCTCATCTTTGCCAGCCAACACCTGGTTCACTCTGTCTGTTGGTATCATCCATTTTGTCTACGGTTCAGCTCTTTATCTCTTTTCAAAGCTCTGTCTCTACAGAGCCCCAAAGGGCTCCTGTTTGCACCCTGGAACAGCAAGTCACTGGAGGAGGGTTCCTTGGCACAACAAGGCTGGCTGCTGTGGTACCCGCCACAAAGAGATCAGCACAATAGGCTTTGCCCATGGAAAAAAAAGCATTTTCTAGAAATAGGCCCATTAACCTCTGAAATGTCATAGACTAACAGATTCCCACAGTGTTATCCCTAAAGACTTGCCTCCAGGAGATCACCTTATTGCACTGGTACCTCAATGGCTCTAAAGTCTCTACTTAATCTCTCCTGATTTTTCCACTCTTCAAATGAAGTGACCTTCAGTGAAATGGCAGCTTTAATGTTGCTTTGAAATGGAACGAAGTTCTAGAAATTGGCACAACTCAGTAAATACAAAGCAGGCAGAATCTTTCATGAAAGTGAAATTCAGTCCCCTGCAGAGTTAGAGTGATGCAGTCACTGAACCCAAATTGCCTGGTCAAGGCACATAGCTCAGACTTCCCTCCCCAAACCGCAGAGTCATCCCTCCATTTCCTTATGCTTACATTTGCTCCTGTGGCTCTCTTGCTCCACCAAGCACGGTAGCACAATCCCATACCCACCACACGGACCGGGAACCACCTGCTCTTACATTGCACTGAACAGACAGATACCCCACCACTCCTCCGTCTTCCGGCACAGAGCATGCCAGGCCTAACGCCACTGCTCTGCAACTTCTCCCGCTGCTGGCATAAAGGCAAAGTAAGAGCAAAACAACTGCTAGAAGTACTCTACAACTGCTCTGTATTAGCTGAGCTTAACGAGGTGTGCAGCAATGATGACTTGGAGCCACTGGATCTCTAAATTGCTCTTCACCTGTACTTAGATGGGATCCCCAAAGATCCTCTTAGAAACAAGCACGCAGCGAAAAGCTATGACCCAAATCTTGTTTATAATTTCCCATCTCATTCCACTCTATAAAAATCAGCTTTAAGCAATTTATTAGTGTGCCACCTAGGCTTCATCCATCTTTATTTTAACAAATTGCTACGTCAAATCCCTTAATCCAGGCCTGAAAGAGGTAAGGCTGGCATTTCAAGATCACATGTGGCCCAGAGACGATTGACTGGTCTAATCTGCTTACCCTCCCCCAGAACTCAACAGCCGTTCCACATGCCAGGGCAGAAGCAGCACTTGGGTCAAGCCCTCTGAAATGAGTCAAGGGCAATCGATGTGATTATCTCAAGGAAACGAGAGACTCTGAGTTCAGTCTTCAGCTGAAGACTGATGTGCCCACTGTTGCATGCAAGACACTGGTATTTTCCACCTCTGGCATGGAGCAGTCCAACAGCATCTTTGGCAAAAGTATGCTTCGATGAATAAGGATACCTAGGAGATCCCACAAAGCGACGAATGGCACCAAGGGGCAAAGTCCATACAAGCATTCCTGTATTGAACACCCCTCTTTAGGCAGACCTCTCAGCGCACTGCAATGCCAATGCAGCATCGCTGGTAGTAAAATTCGTCCAGGTAAGTAATGGCATGGTGCAGATAAACCTTTCTAAACGAAGGCTGAGGACACTACACACAAAGCGACAGCAACGTACCACCTGAACACTACTGGAATTGCGATTTCTGTGCTTTTAACTTGCACAACAGTATCCTTAGGGATAAAAATAGGGAATAGCATCAGCTTCTCTCCGTAATGCTATCAGTTTGGTGTAAACACATGGCATCCTAGTCTCTGCATGCACAGTGCAAGATTCCCGCCGACTCCAACAGACTTTCAGTCTGTCTCTTGGGGGGCAGTAGGAACAGCAGAACGAAATTCCGCACTGACTACCTCTGATAAAAAAGATCCCCTTGGCAGTCACATACCCGGAACAGAATTTTGCAAATAATGACAATTTTCACAGTTGTCTGATAAGCTGAATCAGTTGATCAATTTGTTCTGCTCTCTCATGCCCTTTGCTCTTCACATCTCAGAAGCAGAGAGGCACAAATAAAAGTGCTCTTTCTTTTTCAATATTGTATTATAGTATATTTTAAATATTGTATTAAAGTACACTTCTTGGCAGAATAATTTTGTTCTATTTTCCTACAACTAGTTTAGATTCTTTCACCTAGCTATTAGTGTTTACTCTAATGTTCCCATTCATTACCAAATACAGAGCTACAGCAACTTCCAAAAAAGACACAATATAGTACGTTCTGTCATCATCAGGGATCTCCATGGACCCTTATGAGACAGATTCTTCCTTGAAGAATTCACAATCTGTGCTGATGAGACAAAAAGAGGATGGAGCAAAAGGAAACACGATCAGACTGTTTCATAAGTGGGAAATATGGGACAAAGTAAGCTGGTCCAAGGTCACGCAGGAAGTTTCTGGCATACAAAGGAAATTAATATTGATCTCATGAATTTCAACTGTTGCATAACCAGAAAGGGACATCCTCCCCTCAGTCTTATTCAGAACTGTTCTAGTTTTATTTTACAACAAAGTCATATTTCGTTTGGCAAATGTACCTTGCATGAGAAAACAGACTCATGCTCCAAACCTGTATCTCAGAGAGTAACTGTCATAGAGTCTTTGCGAACAACCTGGTCACCAGTTCCAATTTACCTTCAGGTCATCTGGAATGAAGACTTTGCGAGCTTTCTTAATCATCGGCTGTGGTTTCAGCTCTTCTTCAGAGAACTTGCGCTTACGAGGGTCAAACATCTCCTGGCCGGGAATACTGGAAAGAGCAAGATCTGCAGGGTCAGGTTCGTAGCCAACAGGAACTTGGATAGTCTCAGGATCAATGGGACTTGGTGTGTTTCGGTTTGCTGGCAAGATCTGTCCTACAGAAATAAAGCATCAGTTCAGCTATGTGAGAAGAAAATATGCAAATAATATCACTGAACATGGATTTTAGAAGATCTCTAAACACTTTAAAAGCTGTAATTCTTTAAGTTTTCACTGTATATTTGGTATTTACTCTTGCTAAATATTAGATTGTCCCTTTTGTAGGGTGCATATTCAGATCCAGACATGCCATGCCATTATTTTCAGAACTGGTTCCTAATTCCAGCTGCTAATCTTGGATTTCCACTTCAGATCACTGAATCCAACACTGGTTGCACCAGACTGCAGGCAGAAGACATACTGCTCCAACCCGTGCCACTTCATTAAGATCACATCCTCAGGAACAAATCATAAGTACTGTCATTTAGCTCTGATTTATCCACCACACTGTAACCCTTCCCAGTTTTCTCATGCACAGATTTCTTCATACATAACTTTGAGGGTATGTTTAGTTTACAACCAAACAATGTACAGTACTTGCAATAGGACAATAGCTCATGAAAATGTACTTTCAAGCTATGCTGAAGGACTCCACTAAGGAGACTGCAATTTTCTATGAAATCCTACCAGTGATATTCTAAAATACTGTGCAGGAAACTAGCAACATGAAAGGCTACCATGACTACTTAAAGATGCTCTGCAAAAATGAAAAAACATTTATTTATGCCACATTGCTCTTCTATGGTACATAAAAGCTAATAAAAAGGAGCCTATCCACAGGAAAGAATGACATGGCCCCCCTCAACTTTTTCTTTTTTAACCTTCGATATAGCCTTTAAGACCTATAGCGGCAATTTAGGTGCCATTCCTACAAAAAATCCAATTTAAAATCTCAACCAAAGGTTCCAAAAATAGGATCTTAAAGTCAGCTGCCTAAACACGGACTATCCCCGGGGGCAGAATTTTCAGAAGTTTTTCACATGCCTCAGAAGTACGAGCCTCACAGACTTCAGAGAGAGGACTTCTGATTGAAGCAAATAGTCTTTTATAATTTTGGCTATTAGCTAATTCACTTCAACTTTAAAGCTACGACAGTTTTCATAATAACTGCACAAACATCCTGTGACTGTGTAATATTTCCTTACTTGTGCCCACAGCTGCAATATTTACGGTGCAAAACGATAAACATCAAATGTCATTTCTAATTCCAAACCAAGGCCAGTGTTAACAATGTCGGTTTTATTTTAATCTAGAAGATCGTGGCCACAATATTGGAACCGCACAGAAAACACACAGGGGAATTGCACTGCGCAAAGGAGGGCTTGCTAACAGAGCTTGTCTTTCGTAACGCCTATTTTAAAATAGCACTGATAAAATCAGCTTCCAGGAAAGGCTAGTAAGGGCCTGGGAGAAAAGGAGGATCAAAGTTATTAAATTATAGATGCACCTATAGGAGAGGGAGCAAGAGGAAAGGATCCCACTAGCTGTGCTGCACCAACAGCAGAGAACGCTTCCTCCTCTGCCTCTGGACCCGGCAGGCCACTGCCAAGACCTCGCTGCTGGAAACTGGACATTTCCTTCTGTGCCTCGTTCATAAAATCGGAAACCCCGGCCTGCCCGACTGCCAGCCACAGGGCCGGCGGCAAGGCAGC